CCTGGGCAGGTTCCTTTCCAGCACCGTTTGATGAACTGGCAGGGACGTCATCATCTGATTCGCTATCCTCCTCTCTGGCTTCATTTAATTCCTTTGCCAAATGTGCGGAAAAGAACTTGTATGCGATGCCGGCTGCCTTCAGATGATCGGCCCACGCCTTTCGTTGTTTGTATGACAACATATCAGCTTTGTTGATAAGCAAAAGATTCTCCTTCTTGGGGTTGACCTCCTTGACATAGTGCTCCAAATCCTCAGAGCGGAAAAGGAGGGGGTTTCGGGCATCGACGATCTGAACCACGAGGTCCGATCGCTCGATGACTCGCCAAAGCTGTCGCCAGACCTCGAGATTTCGCTCAAACGGGGTCATCAAGAGATCGTTGTTCTCCTGCAACTCCGCCAAGCCTCGGCGCCAGTTGAGGAAGGCCTCGCGCTCACGGGAGTCCAGCTCCTGGGCGGTTGTGGAGGCATCCCACTTGGGCCGCCGGGGAACCGTGAGCCGGTTCTTGTGAAGTTTATGCTTCCCGATGGCGAGGCGCTCCTCGTGCGCAGAGAGCAGGTATGGGTTGCGCTGGTCCGTGTGGATGATCTTGACATTGTTCATCTTCTCCGCGGTGAAGTCGGTGCCCGCCAGCTCGGCGGTGCTCAGGAACTCATCCAGCGCTCCCTGCTCGGTGACCGAGCGCATCTTGACCCAGGCAGCATCCTGCTTCTCGTTGATGAGGTACTGCTCGCCGGTGGTATGGTTCGTGCGCGCAACGGTGCCGGCCTTCTTTCTGTCTCCGCCTTTGCCCTTGCCGAACCGGTCGTTCATCAACGAGTTACCAAGCCCGACGGTGTTTTTGGACTTTGGCAGAACCATGGTGGGCAAGTTGGAATTTGGTCAATCTCTTTATCAATATCGATGAAGTAGCATATATTCTGGGAGATAGGTTCGATAATTACACAGAAATCCAGGATAAGCCTGCGGCGAAATGGGATTTATTCAGGCGCTCGCGGGGAGATGTGACTGTTTGGTTTGGACTTTTTCCAGGCTGAATAATTGAAAATGGAGGGGCAAAAATCCGTCATCACATCATAGGTGGACGCTCGCACTGTATTTTTCGCTGCCCTAAAGTCGTGGTCCACAGTGCTGAGATAATCGATAACTGTGCTAAGGATTTTCCATGACCCAGTATTATCAAATGGAGGGGTCCTAGCAACCGATTGCCCTACTATACAGACATGCAGTCTCCAGCATGGCGGTGCTCTTGTTTACATCTCCGGATATTCTGCAATCATAGAAGCTTATCAAGATAATCATATGTGTTATAGAAAAACTAACACATCTTTAGCTTACGAGATAACCTGGAATGGGCTCCCTTGCTATGTAGACACTCACGTGAACTCTTTTGCTAGCCTCAACTCTGCCATAGGTATCTCAAGTGTGAAACATGTAAGTAATTTACCCAAGGTAGTTTACATGCTTCACAGGTTTCAGGGTATGAGTTTATACCAACTATTGGGGATGTGGTTATTATATTTTGTTCACAAACTTGAATGCTAAGATGATCATCAAACCCCAATTCCTTCTATCCCATTTCCGTCTTATGCTGTCGTGATTTTGACTTTAGTAACCTCCAGTGACTCCATGTCGACCAGCACAATCTCTCTGGTAGCAGAAAATGATGGCACTGTAATCAGCCGTACAGACTGGCCAGCCGGTCCGCTAACGACCTTGGTCCCGAATTCAGGCTGGCAGCCAACAAAGTAAAGGTGCGGGCAGTCCTTTAATACGAACGGATCGTCGTCCTGGAATGGATAACTCCCTGGAGAAAGAGAACCACAGTTAGCTTTGGCATTGTCAAGTTGTTGCGTAGTATTGCGAGGGATGCCTTACAAAGCGTATCAGGGGCTGTTGGTGCGCAGCACCTCCATCGGCACATGGCCTCCATCATCCCCAGTCGGTCTTCACTGTTGACGTACTTGTAAACATCGTCAACATTCTGCCCTCCAGTACCTAGCGCCCTCCAGCCATCAATCTCTCCCTCCCAGGGGTTTGTAACAATGTCCAGCCAGCCAGGCTCCTTCGAGCCTGGGGGGTTTGTATACTCTCTAGCGTTAGGAAACATTGCTGGGTGAATTGGCTGCTGTGGATAGCTAGAATTTGCGGGATCCTGGGACCCAGGCAGAAGTGTCACGGGTATCGATGCTAAGATCTCGGCGAGGAAGTCATCGAACAGCTGTGAAGGAACGGCGTTGTATGCGCTGGCATCATATCCGTATTTCTTGTTCTTCTTCTCTTCCTCCGTGACGGGTTTCACATCGCTCCCAGAGATAGAGTCTCCAGCCACAATGAGTCTGCTGATCTCAGACAGTTCGGACTGGGCATCAGGACTGAGAACTTCACCAAGAAGAAATTCCAAGAGAAGTTCAAGCTCGAGCGCATAAGATGCGTCCGACCCCGAGAACGCCAAGCCTGAAACGATGGCCAATTTCTTCCTCTTGCCTCCAGTCTGTCCTGACATCTCCTGATCCTCGCCCTTCACTTTCTTCACTCCATTCCCTCGTGGCCCTGATTGGCTTGACAGAGCCCATCGCTCAGGCTGTGGAGGCAAATCGGGGAATTTGACATCGATAACTTCGAGCTCGCCATTGGAGTTCTCCGTGCCCATGACAGCCATAATACAACCCGTTGCCAATCCAATCTTGTGAAGAACATCGCCGACGAGTCGAACACGGCCAGAGTCATCCTCAAGCATGATCTCTTCGGTCTCGTCCTCCTTGAAGTATTTATGTACCGGGTCGGGCCTCGAGATCCACCTATCCTTGCTCACATCCTCGAGGATATTGGGTTTATTCTGCAGATTCATGTAGACGGTTCCAACTACCCAGCAGAGTTCGCCCTGTCGTACATCGAGGACTCTGTCCACCTGCTTGGCTCTCTCGTCCCCGATTGTGGTGCCTTCCCAGGCTGCGGCGGCTACCTCCTCCACGGCAGGCTTGATTTTCGTAAGACGCAAGAAGTACATGTCGCCATATTGCTGTTGGTACGATCGTTGGTGGGATAAGTTGTAAGTCGTCAGAGGCTTGTACTGTGAGTCGGTACGAGTGCCTACAGAATGTGCCGAATCGCTACCACGGCACAGCTAGCAGTCAGCCAATTGTCAACTCGAAATTTGTATGATCATGACCTACGTGGGTTTATGGAGAAGACTCCCCGATACATCATTGAGGGAGACCATGGTCGGGCTGCCAGCTTTGCTATACCGGTTGGTAATAGCTGTCTCGTGAGCCAGAAATTTGCTGGTGAGGCTCTCTGCCCTGGAGCTTTAGTGTTACGCGACGCGTGACAACGCGCTGTGCTGGAGTGGCGTAAATTGAATGCAGGCGGAGTTGGCCGGACTTTAGGTTAGTAGTGGGAATTGATTAGCGTCGATGCTCATGCCCCGCCAACTTGACCTTCTCAATCGAGTGCCCCTCCTCCACAATTGCTGATGCTTTAAAATCATGGACTTCTAGTCGTTTTCCTTTTTTTTTCTCCCAATTCTTTTCCTATCCCTCTTCATACGATATATTTCAGTGACTGGTTCGCTCTTGAAGATCTAATCCCCTCATTCGCCATGTCTGCACCCTCCCATCCCCCCACCATCGAGGTCAACAACCTCTCTTACACCTTCCCCGATTACTCGACCGGGATTCACAACATCTCCTTCGCAGTCCCTCCTCGCTCTCGAACCCTGCTCATCGGTGCCAATGGTGCGGGTAAAACCACCCTGCTGCGCCTCCTGGCAGGCAAGCGTCTCGCCCCGGGCAACTCAATCGCCATTGGGGGCGTTGACCCTTTCAAGGAGGGTCTCGAAGGCGTGACATACCTCGGCCTCGAATGGGTCCTCAACCCCATTGTCCGAACCGACATCGGCGTCAACGAGCTCCTGCGCTCCGTGGGCGGCGACGCATACCCAGACCGGAGAGACGAGCTCGTAGGCATGCTCGACATTGACACGAACTGGCGCATGCACGCCGTCTCTGACGGCGAGCGGCGCCGTGTCCAGCTCGCGATGGGTCTTCTCCGCCCGTGGACCGTGCTGCTGCTCGACGAGATCACGGTCGACCTCGACGTCCTCAGCCGAGCCGAGTTTCTCGCCTGGTTGAAGCTGGAGACCGAGAATCGCGAGTGTACAATCGTTTATGCGACGCACATCCTCGACAACCTCGCAGGTTGGCCGACGCACCTCGTCCACATGCACGTTGGCACCATCAAGGAGTGGGATACCGCCGAGAACATGCTCAGCACTCTTGATCCCTCTGCCGGGCCCTCGGGCAACAGCACGCTCGGAGAGTTAGTCCTCGGCTGGCTGCGGAGCGATCTCAAGGAGCGAGGCCCCAGAAGCCAGGCGCATCGGGGCCCCGAAGGAAAAACTTACGGCTTTGGCGGTATCAAGATTGGGGGTTACGGAGATGAGTCCAAGCAGAGGGAAGCTTAATTGACTTAAGCCTGCGAGGGTTTGTGTTGATCACCCCTGACTCATCTCGGGGTCATCGAGGATGGCGCTCTATTTCATCATTTAGCGGCCGGCGTTTGGGTAGGTAAGCATTTAACATGGCAGCATACAAGATTTTGGGGGGAAGCTCCTAAGATACAGCGCACATTCAACGGTGCCAGGCGTTTTTCTTTTTTTTTGCATACTAGGCGTAGGTGTTTCATCAACCTTCGTTCTACGGCGATATAATTCAACAGAGGTACGAACGCAAAAAACCCGCGTTCGCCTGATATCTCGATCGCCATGTTTTTTTTTCTTCAGATAGTTTTGGATTTCTCGTTTTTCAACCATCATCATGATACCCTGAATTCAACCCATAGGGCAGTAAGCTAAGCTTAACTTACACAATACATATACGTTCATACGTTACGTTATATTACATGAGTTCCACTGCCATTAGATAGAGAGAACCATGAAATCGCTCCTGGGACCACTGCGAGATCCTTCTCCTAATGTTTTTTTATTGATCTCTTGATATCATTATTGAGACGAGCCTTGGCTTGCGGTACCCGGTTGACCTTCCATAGTATTCTTCAGCACCATCATGGTGGACTTGAGCAGCTCTGCTATCCCTGGGAACCCCTTATCCGTAAGCCCATGCAGAACCTTGATCCGATACTCCTGCCAGCTCAGCTCCATCCCCCCGGAACTCGCGAGTCTTGCCAAGCTCGCCTGCGTGACGGGCCCGGCATGCCGAGTGCTTATCGGCTTGCCCTGGGCCATCTCGTCATCTTCTAGATCACGTACACTCTCTATGCTCTGGTAGCATAAGACCGGGGAGTACGACAGCCCAAATAGGGGGGCGAGCGACGAGCTGCCGTCAACCATGGGAACGTACTCGGCGAGGACGGCAACGACCGGGCGAGGGATCAGACAGCCGACGGCGTTCGCATCGGAGTCGCTGAACGCGCGCGAGCGCCAAAGACAGTTGCAGAAGTCCATCAGGAAGCCATTGTACTTGTTCACGTAGGCCCGTCTGTACGACAAGGGGTCGTTCTGAGATCCTGTTTGCTGAGAACGGCTGGACATGGCCATCTCGAATCCTTTCTTAAAGAATGCCAGAACGTGGCACAGTCGGGATGTGGCCACGAGTGAGTTGCTGAAGAATGTCATGTAGATGAGGCTAGGAGGCGGCAGCTCGATCCTGATGTGGTTCCGGAGTCTTTCGTCTGATACTAGGCGGACAAACTGTTCGTAGAAGTCGAGGATGGTGGAGAATGAGGACACGCTGGGCGAGGACTGTACAAGCGTCTGGGCAATCACGCCGACATGCTGTACGAGGGCGGAAACTGTCGAGCTGGCGTGGTCTGGAATAACCTGGATTGAGCAGAGCAGAGCGGACCAGTGACGGAGTAGTCTCGTGTAAAGGGTAAGTAGTTTAGCGTGTGATGAGGGGTCCTGTCTCAGGAATGCGGTCTCTAGGGGTTGGAAGATGTGCGAGAATAATTCTAGAGGGTATGGTTCATCAGAATCTGTTGTTTGTTGGGTATATGTCCATACTTACTGTCGTATTCGTGGAGTGGCGTGTAGGCCACTATTTCAAGAAGCAGATCTCTGCGCCCTGCTCCATCCCATATTTCGAAAAAGCGAGCAAAGAAACTTAACAATACGGGTGGAACGGTCTGGTTCAGGGGTCAGCCAAGTCAATAAAGGGGGGTGTACACGGAAGTCTCCCATCTTACCTTTGTATGTAGAACAAACTCCCGAAGAACATCAATAATGTCCCAGAACGTGTCTTCATCGGTGCCGCCACAAATCACATCGTCAAGAACTGCTTGCAACCAGTTCGTGATACGCTGAAACGCATCACCATTTGGAGACAATAAAAGAAGCTTTTGAAGCAACGGATCAGCGAGGACGGCCACCATCTGATTCGGCAGCTGGATCTTTTCGAGGTTCTGGGCAAGTTTGGTTGCATTTTCCACCTCCTCTAGGGTGATTGATTTCTGTACTAGAGTCAGTCGCTGCAAAGCCAATACGTAGGGGGAGCATAAAGTCACCTCCGAGGCGTGATATGTTTGCACAAAGGGTATCGCCTTGCGTCTCTGCCCGGAGTTAATTGGTCGATTTACACGGAAACCGTCGTACTGTGAAGGGGCCGTAAGGTCCTGCATAGATTGGGCATGGGCTTCCTGAATCTCATCGAGTCTTGCCCGCCATATAGGATCCGGGTGCTTGAAGGCCGAGGCTTTGCCACGAACAGCTTCTGCGACGATAATTTCCGGATAATAGTCTTTGAAGACACGCAAAAGTCCTATCAAGGACGGGTCATTGCCCGTTTGTCTCGAAAGGTTAAGGCTTGAAGGCAAATTGGGTCAGGATCATAGCATGTATATCATAAGTATGTCTTGGGCCTCACAGGTTCTGTATCCGAAACGGCTTGACATGTTTTCTCCTTGTAACCAGTGCTAACAAGTGGCTAAGCTGTGGCCTAGATGACAATGGTTTAGCAAGGGGACGGATACTTCACTCAACAGTGGGCGTGAAAGAAAAGGGACATACCTCGTTGCCGCGGTATCAAGAAGACAAAACAACACCTGGTAAGCTTGGGAGAGGGATCCAGGTGACTCAAGGACGTGATAAACGAGGATGAGCCACCGCAAGAGCGCAGCCTGAATATTCAGAGAGGGTTTCAGACGACCATGGCCGAAGCTTCCCACCACACGCAGGCCAACATCACGCGAGACCCGAGTTGCTGGATAGAGATTTCTCACAATTGCGGCTAGACTGGCTTGGTCTAGATGGTTAGGGGTCGTTACGAGATCGATCAAGTCGCTGAGCGCATCAGGAAGCAGGCCATGCTCGTATGCCGCCGATATAAGTTCGGCTACAACAGGCTTGATGTTTATGGTACGAGACTTGGGGGGGAGCTTTGAGGCCTGGACAACGTCGGCGATCAGCAACCGGATATTCTCATCCCTGCCAGACGGAGCCATGCCGAGTTCATGGAGCATAGAAAGACCAGAAACAATCGAGTCCCAGGACACAGGCTTCGGCCGAGAAAGTATAGCGGGACGCGTCCAGTTCGGAGGAAAGACTAATTACGACGCGTCTGGAGCCCGGTACGGACCTCGGAGTGGGACGCGGGACTCCGTGCAGCGCCCTGATAGCGCTATCAGCGTAGGGGCAGGCACCTAACGGCATTCCTTACTAAGGCAACCAAAAGCACCGGGTAGGGTCATACCTGTCGAGGGCCTGTGGCACGGTCGGAATTACCGATTGTACGGCACAGAAGCGAATTATCCAAGCGTACCGTATGTAGCCGGTGGGGCTCCGAAGTCCCTGTGCTGTGACAACAGTCTATCAAGTTACAAGTACCGCTTGTGATATCTTAGGTACAAAGTGGTCGGAAGCCCTACCGCCTAACCAGAACCCTGATCATGTATCACTTCTCAGCTAGGTGGATAAGACGACAAGAGCACTTCTCTCTTCTCCTCCTGATCGATAATTATCCATTACTGCATCCGTCCCTCCCTGCATACTACTAGTTGTTAGTATTGAAGCTGTAAGCCGGGATTGCTTTTTCCCTTTTAATTAACTAGCACTTGAAGCGAGGTCATGCAGGATCCTAACTAGAGTCACACAGTGCCTGCGAGTCCACACAACCAACCAGTCCCCCTCCAGCCAACTTGGTTGGCTCAGACAGTGAGCACATGCAATCTCTCCCTCAGCCATTTGCAGGGGACGGCACGTTCCCAAGCTTTGTGCTGGCACTTTCAGGGTGGCTTGGCAACACCTCTGCTTGGTTGACGGAGCTACCCATTACGTGGTAGTGCATGCAGCCACCAGGACGATAGCTGACGCGGTTACACCAACAAACGGTCGATGAGGCTCGTACAAGAAAGTATAATGAGCAACCGCGGCAGGGTTATGGATCTGGAGTACCTATATTGATTCTGGTGTTACGTCGTACTCGTCCCCCCCCCCTCGGGCGAGTTGCTGTGCTACTCCGGAATCCGAGAGAACATGCCTGATAGAGGTTATGATAGGAGTCCCTTCACCCTCCGAACAATGGCACACCCAATAGGTTTAGCTGGAGGGCTGACCACATTGTTACCAGGCGGGAGCTAGGACCTCCAGGAATCCACTCCCACGGGGGCTGCCTTTTACCTTGGTGGCTCCAGCGGGACTACAAGAGAAGACGGTCTAGACGAGGCGGGCTAAGGGTTGCTAGCTTGTAGGGCTAACGGCGGATCCCATCAGGCGGCCAGGGCGAGCAAGGCAAATGGCGGCTGCAACCACTGAGTTGGGAGGGGAGCTTAGGGACGACGCTGGTAGGTGCCCTGCCCCGGGGGGAAAGCTTCCTTCCATGTTGCTCGGTGCCGGCCAGGTTCCGGCATTAACAGCACACAGCACAGCACCACACAGCATAACACACTGCACGGGCAAGCTGCACACCTCCTGACAACTTGCCACCCTCCTAATGGGATGGGACTTGGGGAAGGCATGTGCGACCTACTATCTACATAGTTGCTTATTAGGCTAGCTGAGTGTGGGTGATGAATTCTCGTCGACGACATTAAAACGGAGACCTGGGGGTCGCACCGGCCGTACCTGCCATCCAGCCCGTTGCCTCACCACCTCCACGCAACAGGCAGGCATGCATGGAATCATTATGCGGTCTGCACCTGCCTGCACATGCGCATGCACATGCACACTCCATTGCCTTAGGCCGGTATGTACTCATGTACATATGTACACATCGGCCTCGACCCGACCCAGGCGGTGGTCGTACAAAGGTCCTCCCTAGTCGTACAAAGCTGCCTGGAGGGAGGGCTGGAGCGACGTCGGGAAGGTGGCACCTACCCTCCATGAAACAAGACAGAGGGCCTGCCGCCCGCCCGCCCGCCAATCCACGGCAAGTGCCATATCCTGATCGGGGGCCCCAGACCCTCCGCCGCTCCGGAGGTAAGTGGGAGCGAGTGAGAGCGCGTCTGCCATGTACGATGACTGCAGGCTACCTCATGTGAAATGGCGTCAAAGAACCCAATCACATCCACTCAATCTCATCCCAGCCTGCGACCCCCGTCCTCAGACCCTTGCAACTTTTTTGTTCAATCTAACCCACTCCTTCTGCGCCTCTCTGAGGTCACACAAACCTCCCAAATGGGCCAACCATCCCTGGACCGGCTTTGCCTGGAGGGACAATTCCGAACCTCAAGGCGTCAGCAGAGTTCATCTGCCATGTTACAAACCCTGGTCTATCGGCCAACTGCCATGTCCCTACTCGTCCAATTCACTACCACCCGCGCATCCCGTGCTCCACTGCCTGGGTTGAGACAATAAGCAAATACTAGCACCGTCGAGCACTCCCTCTCTTCAGGCCGAAACTTGGCAGCCAGATATCTGTGTGACCATGCCAAAGGTACCTGCCCATCCGAGGAAACAACGCTTTCTCATACGACCATGGGATAGACTAATCCGATCAGATAAGGCCCATCCAACGTAATGAACATCACACGATCCTACCTCGCCAATCATCCAGCTTGGTAGCTTCGGAAATCCGAGTTCATTTCTCTCAATTTCATCACCATTGCATCTCTGACCGACACTTTCGTGGGTCCCAGCCCGCCCGATTTGACTCGAAATCATAACTTGGGCAGATTTTTCGCCCCAAGCCGCCAGCTCACTGAGTAGAGAGACTCCTACGCAGTGGTCCAGCCCCATTATCAAGGTCTCCATGAACCCAGCCAGGTCAGCACCATGTTCTCATCGTACATACCACATTCACCTCGTATTTGAGACTACATCGCATACTTCGTGGTGTGTCTGTATCTGAGGGAGCACCTTTCTTTCCCCTGAGAGGCTACTAGCCTCATGCTAGCCTCCTTGAAGGTAGGGTGGCTCACCATCATGCTACCCGCAAACCTCTTGGTTGTCTCAAAACCCTTGAAGGGATTGTTGCCATATCACCCCTTCACCCTCGGTGAAGCCTGATCGGGCAATCCTCCCAGAGTTCATCATCTCCTTCGTTCATCCTAGTTTCACCAACTGTTCGCTGTGCATTGCCAAGTCGTTCGTTTCCTCCCAACTTGCAGCTGACAACCGCCAAGTACCCTCTAGGCCCTCGTCGATTCATAGCCGTCTGTGGATGGCACGCCAAAGACTCCGGGTTTCTCCAAGTACTTATCCAACCCAGTCGTGCTATAAATGTTCCAGCCCCAGCATTGATCGCTAATGTACCGGGCAGAAATCTACGACAACAGCACGCCGATACGTCTATCCACTTTCAGGACTGCCACCGTAAGTACCAAGATTGATTTCCCTTATTTGAATCCCAGTCCACCTCTGTGCACTACGCCCTATAAACCTGTGTGCTACCATACCTCGTTTGTTCACCAATCCACTTTGGTGTGGGTTATTGGCCATTGCATACAGCATATCCATGCCTACATATGTACAGCCAAGTAGGTCGGTTGCCAATTTTTGTCCATTTACCCCCACTTGACTTGCCTTTTGGAAAGATGGCACAGGGATTGCTGGCTTAACACGCCATGTGCGCAACTGCGAGGTGCGGCTGGCAACTTCGATCCTGTCTCTTCTGGAAACAAAAATTTCCGGGATGCGAGTTTAGGTTCATCTGCATCTCGGGCTTGGCCGACTACTTTAGAACCCGGTCCAGGTAGCCCCAGGTGCCCCAAACAACGAGCATGTAGACAAGCTCCCGCCTCAGAGCAGGAGGTCACTTTTCCTTCCGTCATCAGTCGCATGAGTCGTCTACTCCACCACATTCCATCAACCTCTACCTTCTCATAGGACAAGGAAGCATATTGACGATCTCTCCACTTAGCCTGCTACCCTTATTTAAGTCTCTGGTCTAGACTCGATCAAGATCCGATATAGTCTCAGGACTCCCCCCACAGGAGCTTCGACATCCACACACCAGCTCGATCCCTTCCAAAGAATCTAACCTCGCACTGAAGCCTTTTGTGGCCTTCATAGCGTGGGCCGTGGGCAATTCTTCAGTGTCCCATTGCATGCTCAGCCGCACAGCACGCCATGTGAGACTAGTAGAATGTCAGAAATAACATCGTCAACGCAACAGATAAGCTCCCGGGCTTCGTCTACTCCTTCGGCAAACTTGTTGTGGGACCGCCAGAACTGCGTGCCTTTGGATAGATGCCTATCCAAAGACGACATTATTCTTCTCCTAACCCCGCTTGTTGTTCCACCAGAGTCCCAGGTTGATAAGACAAGCGATCCTTTTGAGCCTTTAGGCCGATCTCTAGCCACAAGGCATCCTGCAGTCCGCCACGTTCCCTATACAAAACAACACGGCATTACTGGGGCTCATATTGCATTCATTAAGAAGGCAGACGTTGTCATATTTGTCCTTACCGGATATTCAGACGACGACAGAACACAAACGGAGCTGGCTGACCTAGTCAACGAAGCCTGTGATTCTCGGCCGCTCATCGTCGTAGCGTGCTGTGACCTTGACGAGCAAGATATCCAAAAACACGATTTTCCAACTATTATTAAGACAACCGGCTTCTCTGCAATCGACATGCGTCTTGTCTCTTCCGTTCTGCTCGACGGGGAGAGCGAAAGCGAGACCTCAGGTCCTGCTCCAGCCCCTGCCCCGGCTCCAACTCCTATGGCGATTTCGCCTCCTTCTACTCCTACTGCAGGTCCTGCCCAAGCTCCTGCCCCAGGTCCTTCGACACCCCAGGCCCCCGTCGCCTTAGCAAGCAGGCCTGCTTGGTCTGTTCAAAGATGGTCGCCCGATGATATCCCTGAAATGCATCGTTTATGGATAGACAATGTTCCTTCCAAATTTCATATCGACCGGGAGCATTTTGGTTTGTTGATAAATCGACCAGATTACGCCGTACATCATGTCGTACGAGAACCGAGCATGAATCATTTGGTCGGCTACTGCGCGGCATATACAAATATTAGCGATAGCAGAGGGGAAGAGCTTATTGGGTCCCTAGCAATCATGGTCGTTCGACAGGACTTTCGAGGCCTGGGGATCGGCCAGCTACTGCACGATACGACTGTCAGCAGTCTCAGCAGAATTCGCGGGGTCCGTAGAATCCAGCTTGGAAGTACGTTCCCAAGGTTTCTGTACGGCATTCCCACGGGACATCCGAATATCAAGTGGTTGGAAGGAAAGGGCTGGCCATTCGCAACGATCCAGAAGGCGGGAGCAGGCCGCCTCATGGCTGACTGGTTTCTACGATTTGAGGGCGATAATTCACTGAACCTTGCATCAGCAGGGTTAACCTTCAAGCCATGTGATCTGACAGATGTGCCATCGGTACTGGACATGGTTGGGAGGGAGACGGAACGAAGACATTACTTCGGGTGGTTCGACCAGTATCTTCGGATCTTGGACCATAATAACATTGGAGACGTCCTCCTTGGCTTTGAAGGCTCAACCCTTGTGGCTTCTGCCATAACGTATATCCCCAACAGCGGTAACCCTACTGCCGCTGATTTGCCATGGGCAGATGTGATAGGGGCAGGAGGTGGCCAGGTTGGCGGCATCACTTGCGTCTGCATCAAGGGTATGTTTCCCAATGAGACTATGTTCAAGCTCACCAACTTTGGATTGATTACATTTACTGACATTCTTGTAGATGATGGTGCCGAAGTGGTAAACCGGCGAGAAACGATCAAGGTCAGGCTAATCACAGCATGCTGCGCGTTTCTCCAATCGAAGGGAATGTTCGGCGCACTTGCCGACGGCCTTAAAGCCGAGGAGAATGGATTAGAAGCAATTGGTATGGACTATTATTCCTTCCTCCTGAGCAACCATGACCAAAATCTAACTTGCTGGAATCAGGTTTTAAGAAATGGGCAGAATATCATGAAGTCTGGAAACACATTTGAAAGCAAGAAACACCCATCTGTCTCGCCCAAAACTCTCAGGAATATATTATACGTTTGACCTTCACTACTTTGGCATCACCTCCGACTCCGACTATGACTATTGGAGACCTGAAACCAACATCTCTTGGGTCAAGGAGGGGGAGGGTTCGTTTCTGTCATCTAGTTATTCGCTCTCCTTTAAAGGTGAATTGTTAGCAATTTCTCTCGTTGAAAGCATCGGCCAAGCTGCGACATCGTCCCAGCCCGGCCTGATGAGTGTGCTCTTTTCTTCAGAATACTATCCTTTAGGTCGTACAAGTCAAAATCAAATTGTCTACCCCAATAGAGTCGCCCGCCTGTGATCATGAATTGATTCAGTGGATACGCCCCCAAAGTAAGATTTTCCACAATCACCAATGTCAAGCTTGTATCAAGTAAATACAAATACCCGCCGGGTTTTCGAACGACAACAACTAGTCACGGAGAATCTTGCCACAACGCTATTGATATTTTATTCATGTTGGGATGGATAAGCCCATTGGGGGCAACTGCTCTTCACTCTTTTTGGCAAAAACAAGGGAAATCAAAGGGGCCCCCCAAAACGAAATTACTTGACGATTGAACAACAACAAAAGACTGCAAGGTTTGTTTTTGAAATGGAAAACCAAGGAAGAAACCACACAAACGTCGCTGAGGTCAAAGTCCGTTTAAAGAAAACAAAAACAAGTAACTTTATGCTAGTGGGATATATATATGCATCTAATAACAAACGGGCGCCATTTTTGGTTTTCAACGAGATATTGAACAGAGAACAAGAAGGGGAGCGGGGGGGTAAAAATCACTTTTAATGTCGTACAGTATTCATCTCGTCATCTCCCGAGTAGAGCAAGGAGAATCAGAACAAGACCTCCAAGAGCCCGGCGGTGGAGAGACTTAGGCCCATTGGGAGAAGTCCACAGAGTCGGCCGCTGAGTCTGATGGGAGGTTGCCGTTGAGTCCAATCTCAGTGTCGGACGTTCCGCCAGACACGGTTGATGACCGGTGCGACGCCTGTTCGCTGGAACTTGTGAAGAATGTTGCTACGCTCGTGCGTCGCAGGCCGAAGCTCTCCCTGACTCCGCTGTTGGGGCGGGATGAGTCGGAGGGCGGCTGGAACGGCTGCGAAAACTGCGGCACCTGTTGCCCTGGCGAGGCGATGCTCACAGACGACAAGGACGGTGGTGGTGAGGGTGACGGGCGTTGTTGAGGGGGCACTGGGCCAAATGAGGCGGCTGATGACTTTGGTCCATACTTTTCACGGAGGCGTCTAATCTCACGAAGACGGTTCCTCCAGGCACTGACGTGCTCTCCGCCATTACGGCTCTGCCAAACCATGGAGAAGACAGATGCGTTGAGCGCGACCAGCCGGATAAATCCTGGGAGCGCCTTGAGCGAGATCATCTTCGTCTCAGATGCTGGGGATATCTGGGGGAAGCCGGGTCTACTCATCACTTGGACTCTATAGAACGGCTGGTCCCGGGATTGTTCGTCTTGAGCCTCACGGGAGGCGATAAAGGACGCCCGAGAGGCAGGTGTGATGACAATGTACACGTAGTTGAATTGACTTGGAAAGGTATCGAATTTGAAAGGGAGTCCAGAGTCATTAAAGACAATGTTGACGAAATCATTGCCAATATGTCGCTTCTTATTCGCAAGTTGGGGATATCGCTCCAAGTCGGTTGGCATCTGAGTTGTGACGTGTAAGATGATTTCTGTCACCCTGTCTCGCCAGCAAAACGTGTACTGGCCATCCAGGTCAAATTCTCTATCCAAGCCTTGCGTGTTAAAGGTAGCTCCCTTGAGCTTGGTCAATGTACCAAGGTTGTTCAGGAACTCAACATAGTCACTGCTTCCAGAAACATTTGCTAGAATATCAAGCTCCTGCGTCTGCCCTTCACCGACGTAGATGACGCCAACTTTGTGCCCATCGGTCGTCGGGTTGAGGTCAAACATCCGTATTGCCCGTTCGATGGTGTCATCTTCTGGTAGCGGTATAGGCCGGGCTGAGTCACATGATTGAGGTGCTGAGGATATCAGCTGAATGAGAAGATGGCTTGGCATGACCGTGTTCTGAGATGACTGACCACCCCTGCTCACATCAACATAGTTGGGTGTTTGATGTAAGGGAGGTGGTCTGAATACTTCTCGCACACTATACACCGAGGTCCCTGACGGTTGCCTTTTCGTGACCTGTGCCCAGCCAGTGTTAAGGCTCTGTTTGACAGTGACGATACTGTTGCCAACGACCCAGTTCCTTGTAGCCATTTTACCAAAACGCTGTTCGTTAAATTCGGGGTCTTCGGCCGACTCCTCGATGTCTGCGTACGCAACTCTCTGCATAAAATCCAACGTCGTAAGAGCCTGTTCCTCGGACGTAGTGCCAGAACCATCGACCTCGGTGAAGAGTTTCTTTGTTATCGTGGGCACGTGTTTGGGGCGGTCCTGCAATTTGAGCGCAAGGAACCAGAACAAGATCACATGGTATCCGAGCGCATAAACGTACTGGGGAAGGTCATCGGAAGCGCTGGGGTGTGTCAAGTCCACACTGCCGGAGCGGGTAGACACTGGCGTTACAGGCTCACTCACGAGAGGGTTCCTGCTTGCCTGCTGCCTCTTGTCTCTTGCATAGTCAAGATATCTGAAGCACATGCCAAAAATCGTTCGATATTCGTCCTCCCTGAAATTGACATACACATCATGGAGTCGACTCAGACAGGCCAGGAACTCCAAGATATGAATAGCAAGGTTGGATTGCGTGATGATTGTGCTCATATGATTCAACATCTGACCCAGAGACTTGCTCACCGATAATGGTAACTCATGGCAGCAGATCGAAAGCGCATGTATGCAGCATTGAGCCGTCCTTTCCCATGCTGTGATACCATGAACATACGTCTTCACGATTTCATCTTCTTCTCCTTTTAAGAAATGGTCATGATAACTCAGAATCATCGTCAGACTGTGAAAGAGACAAATAGCAACATCGGCGCGACGTAAGCCTGATGCATTTGGGGGCTCTTGAAAGCTGTTTGAACGTATTTGCTCACAAATCAGCTTCCGTAGCTCTCTGATTTGCGGTAGGGCATTCTTGAAGATGGCATGGTTGCTCAGCTGCGACGGGAGGTGTACCAACACAAAGCAATAAACCTCCCAATCGTCACCCTTGAGAATACTCAAAACAGTTTCGAGCCAAAATGGCATGTCGAGCACACATGACGTCTGTTCATCCACGTCCCCTTCAATACCTTCCTCAGATATACGTGACAATAAGACTGGGCTTGTCTGATTTGGAGTCGTGGACGGAATGGCATCGGGATCTGGAAGCCTCCACATTTGCTTATAAGTTGCCACGGATGGTTTGGAACCGCTAGGGGTTCTCACAGGCAGGCCACGATCGTAAGCTTGGGTCTGTCCAAGAGAAAGCCCGCGGGCCGGACGAGACAAGCCTCCATGATCACTTCGAGTGGTCCTTAATGAATGGAAAGCCTCCTCACGTTGCCTCCGGGCTAGGGACTCCTCGGTGCGGCATATTCCGGCAGCAAGAAAGTTGGTTTCCAGCACTTTTGTGACAAAAACTCGACTGGCCCAGTCGGCACGCAATCGGAAGAGCAACTTCATCGCTGCTAGGCGCGCATCCACCTCACAGTAGATTGATTTAGCAATATGGACGAGTGTGGTGTAGAGCTTCACACTCTTTGCACAGCTTGAGTTCATCACATTGGTAAACATCTTCACGTAGCCCTTGATGACCACATTAGACAATGATTCACCGGTTGTAGGTAGGGCCGCATCTCCCGCCAATGCAGCCAAGGTGCTTGGTGTCATTGGCGATGTGACTCGATCGTTGATAGCAATTTCCTTGACGGCCCCAACTATGAAATCGAAGAGCTGCATGTCGCAGGAGGTGACAACCGGAATCATGAGATCCATGACAGCGTCAAGCACCGCAGCATCCTGCTCTTCGGTTATGTTTCGAAGAATGCTCTTGGCAAGAGCAGGAACAAAATTTTGCTCGGAATCATCTGCCAGAAGGTCCATGATCTCGTACGAGTCCTTAATAATGCGGAGGGCATGGAGTCGGGTCTGGGTTGACCGTTTGCGGTTGCTGAAAAACTCATCAGAAACAATAGCCAAATTTTTCTCCCACCGAAGATCTGATGGCGAACAACATCTGAGCTCTTGGAAGTAGTTCAGGAGCGCGCCTGCGGTGTTGTCGCTGAGGAGCCGGGGCACGCTGACAAAGAACTTGATTATGGTTTGACGTGGGACGAAGTCGGTGTGTTTTTGGCCAAGGATCAAATCAAGCCGAGCAAGGAGAGTTTGAAGCTCTTGAACAAGATCCTCAGTCCGCTCCTCCAGGGGATGATCCGGATCACTTCCCAATGTCTTGGCGCATTCAGCGGCCACGTCCAGTACCACGGACCAGTCCTCTTCCACTATCAGCTTGTGCAAGTTTCCTTTAGAATCGCTGAACAAGGCATTGATGACTTGGAGGACAGCCGCACAAACCCTCGGGGCAGGGCCAGATCTCACCACAGTCGACAAACCATCCGCCAGAAGAGCATAGGGAACAGCTGGATACCCCTTCTCCGTAGTTTTGGAAAGAAGCTTCTGAAGAACGGAAAGGGATCCCCTAACTTCTCTTGTCGTATCCTTATCCTTAGCTCCCTCTGTAGAGATGCCACGCAACGCATCCAGTAAGATGCGTACGGTAGCCTGACCATTGTGGGATTTGCACAGATTAGCAATGGTATGCCAAGATGTCTTCTGTAGGTTCGGTACTATGCAGTGGATTGAACTCAGAACTTGAACGCAGCCTTTTAACTTGTCGTTGGGGATGGATCCAAAAGTGACCAATGCATCAAACACGGAAATGCACGACCGCAAGTCTTCCTCAACACTTGTACTCATACAAATGTTCAGCAGCTTCTCAACAAGCCCAGAAACGGCAGTGTCGTCGGCAATCTTAGAGCTGAATTTGA